CTGTCAGAACTGTAATCGAGTTTGACCTTGAAAGCAGCAATAGATACGTTTTGTAGATTTTATACGATGCGCGCGTACATACACAGAAACATATGCACACACACACACACACACACACATATACACAGATGCAGCAAACACGCTGCTGCTAATACAGAGATCTACCAATCATCAGGAAGAAGGAAAAAAAATCCTACGAAGAGAGAAGATCTAACGAATTTGAAGCTTATGCATTTCCAAACGAATTAGAATAAATGCATACATACATACATACATACATATATATATATATATATATATATATTTATTACGAATAAAATATAAGGGTAATTTGCAAAACGATTAGAAAGAAAGAAAAAAAGAAAGAAAGAAAGAAGGAAAATTTTTGAATCATATTAAAAAGGAGAATGGATATGGAATGTATATGGAAAGAGAAAAAAAAAAAAGAAAAAAAAAAAAGAAAAAAGAAAAAGACAAGAAAAAATGTACAAGATACAACGGGTGAAGGAAAGATGTATTATGAGAAAAAAAAAAAGGAAAAAAAAAAAAGGAAAAAAAAGATAAAAGGAGAAAAACAAATAAAAAAAAATAAAAGAGAGAGAAAAAGAAAGGAAAGAGGAAAGAAAAAAGAAAGAAAGAAAAAAAAAATAAAGAAGAAATAAAGAGAGATATTCAAATGCTAAGACTCACCTTGCATCTGCGTGCGATTATGTTAAAAACTGGCATGATGCGAGGGGGAGGAAAAAAAACCCACAACTTGCTTTTCTTTTTAGAAAATCCTTGTCCCGTTTTCCGTTCTAATTCGTCGACCGGCAACGAATTTAAAGGTCCACAATGAAATTTCTAATACACCGACGTATTCAAAACGTTCATTTAAATATTTCTTCTTCTTCTTCTTCTTCTTGTTATTGTTGTCGTCGTTGTCGTCGTCGTCGTCGTCTACGTTGTTATTAATCCCCGACGTTAATTTTCGCGGAATCGTTAAATAAAAAAAAAAAAAGAATGTCATTCATTAAATCACACGCGTATATAAACATATACATATATATGTACACACTCGTCGTCTCGTGGCATTGTCCTTTCACGTCTTCTCCTTCAAAATATATCGACGATCATATATAGTCAATCGGAATCGAGAAGAAAGACGAAAGAAAATAAATAAAAGGTAAAAAAGGAATTACAAAAAGGGGGGAGGGGGAAAAAACAAACAAACAAACAAACAAACAAACAAAAAATGAAAGAACAAAATCAATAAGAGATACGATTTGTACATACGCGTTTCTCTAATATAACTTGAATTTTCACGTGTATAACACTTTTGATATAATCTTTTAAATCTCTCATCCTTATTTTATATTGTATTATATTATGTTATATTTTCTTTCTTTTCTCGTTCACACTTTTCTTTTTTTTTTTTCTTTTTTTCTTTGTTCCGTATTTATTTTTCACTTTTTTCTCTGTATTGTATGTTTCACTCCTTTTTTTTTTTCACTTTCTTCAAATGCTATATCACTCAGGTATTATTCACTTCTTCCTCTTCTTCTTCTTCTTCTTTTTCCTCCTCCTCCTTTTTAATCTTTCTCTTCTTCTAACAATATAAAATAATAATCAACGGTCACTAAAAAAAAAAAAATCTCACAAATCGCGTACTATTCACAAATCGCGAAATAATTTTCGTTCACGAATATTGGAATTAGCGTATCGATATGATGATCGATGTAAATATAACGATAGACGATATATACATATATATATATATATACACATACACAAACACACACATATATATATATATATTATATACCATCATCTAAGGGGTGTTAAACTTTTCTCGTTGTACGAAACTAACGGAAGAGACTTAGCGGAATTTCTCTCGAACGCGTCCAACACGAAAATACCAGGAGAGTTTCCTCCTCGTTCGTCTCAAACGCGGTAAACTCGAGAGACGTATACTCTGCTATCTCTATCTCTCTCTCTCTGTCTCTCTCTCTCTCTCTCTCTCTCTCTGTCTATCTATCTATCTATCTATCTATCTCTATCTATCTCTATCTCTATCTCTTTGTATCTCTGTCTGTCTATCTCTATCAGTCTATCTCTATCTGTCTATCTTTCTCTATCTCTATCATCTGTCTATCTCTCTCTCTCTCTATCTCTCTCTTACTCACTCACTCACTCACTCACTCACTCACTCACTCACTCACTCATTCACTCTCTTTACTTGAAGAAGCTCGGTAAATCACGACGCTATTCCCTCTCGCGATTCGACTTCACCAAAAGCAACAGTAACAACAGCAGCAACAGCAGTAACAGCAGCAACAGCAATAGCAGTAGCAGTAACAACAACACCAGTAACATCAGCAACAGCTAAAGTAGCAACAGCAACAGTAGCAACAACAAAAACAACAGCAGCAGCAGCAGCAGCAGCAGCAGCTGCAGCAGTAGCAGCAGTTCGACGTTAGCAGCCTTCGAACGTTAAACTCTTCCTTAAGATACGTACGACTTGTTACCCAATCACCGCTAACAATTAGATAACAAAAAGGTGTCCCGCTCTACCCGTGCTTGATTACTAACGGCGCCGGAAGGTCGTCGCGAATTTCACTTCGTTCGAAGAAATCGACTGTGTGATATATATATACGCGCAAACACACACACACACACACACACACGGATGCACGGATGCACGCACATACACACATAAATCGATAACCGAGATCGGTGTTTAATAGAAAAAGAATTAAAAAATGGAATTAATAATAATAATAATATTAATAATATTAATAATAATAATAATAATAATAATAATAATAATAATAATAATAATAATATATTTCTAACAAGCGAAGTTAAAAAAAGAATAGTTAATGGAAAACTTTTATATATATCACATAGTCTCTCTCTCTCTCTCTCTCTCTCTTTCTCTCTCGTTGATTTTCTTTCCAATTCAAAGAACAATTTCAAGGATCGATCGTATGATTCTTCAATGTTAACGAATAGAAAAAAAAAATAGAAAAAAATAACAAAAATAATAATAATGATAATAATAATAATGATGATGATGATGATGATGATGATGATGATGATGATGATGATGATGATAAAACTATTAGTTCGTATAATACATAAGCGAACGCTCGGTCGAATTTTCTTTCCAATTCGAGGAACAATTTCAAGGATCGATCGTATGATTCTTCAATGTTAACGAATAGAAAAAAAAGGAAATAAAAAAATTACAAAAATAATAATAATAATAATAATAATAATAATAATAATAATAATAATAATGATGATGATGATGATAAAATTATTAGTTCGTATAACATATAAACGAAGACTCGGACATATTTTTCTTCTTTTTCGATTCCTTTTCTTTCTTTTTTTTTTTTCTAACAAATAAAAACGATTTCAAGTATCACTCGTGACACTTGTGATTGATCGAAGGAAAGAAAGAAAGAAAGAAAGAAACAAACAAACAAACAAACGAACAAATAATAATAATAAAAAAATTATTGGAATTCATTTTAATTGGAAAAATTAAAATTCGTACAATAGATGCAGACGAACAACGATTAGGCATAAAAGACTCTCTTTTCCTTCTTCTTTTCCTTCCCTTTTTTCTTTTCACTTCGAACGAAAAGTGACAATTTCTAAGGTCAATCAAACGAGCCTTATAACCTTTTGAACTCTCGTTCGCGGAGTCCTTTCGCTTCGAATGATAATCGGGTCGATCGATTTGAATTTTGCAGGTCACTAGAGATATATCCGACTTGATGTGCATCGTCGTCATTTTTCTTCGATGATGAGATAGAGAGAGGAAAAAAATAAAGAAAATAAAAAAAGAAAAAGGAAAAAGAAAGAAAAAGAAGGGAGGAAAAAAAATAAAAAAAAGATAAGATAGTAAACTTCCTACCAACAACAAAGACTACGACAACAACGACGATGATAATGACGACGATGATGATGATGATGATGATGATGACGACGATAACGATGTCGATGATTGATCGATTGTAACGTGTAGTATCTACTAAATAGCACACGTGTAAATCCAACCAATCAAGGTCGTTTGATTACTCAATAAACCAACCAACCAACCAAACAACCAACCAACCAACCAACCAACCAACCAACTAACCAACCAACCAACCAACCAATCAACCAACGAACCAACTAACCAACCAACCAACCAACCAATGAGCCAACCAATCAACTATTTGCGTTGTATCTGTTTTTGTCAATCCTTATTAATTCTCTTTTCTTTTACTGTCTTTTTTTTTTTTTTTTTTTTTTTTTTTATCAAGGAAGATAAAATCAATGATAGAATATATAAGAAGGAAGACGTGTTAACCGAGCGTAACGCAAAAAAAGAAAAATAAAAACAAAAAAAAAATAAAAGAAAAAAAAAAAGAAAAGCAGAAAAAAGAAAGAGATAAAAAAGAGAGAGAGAGAGAGAGAGAGAGAGAGAGAGAAAAGGGAGGAAGAAAAAATGAAGAAGTAAAAAAAGAGAGAACGTTCCCGTACGAAGCGTTACGGTTAGTTTATTTTTCGTAGGAAGCTAAGAAAACTTAGGTGGACGCTACGCGACGCTACGCTATGCGGTTCGCCGATCCTCAAGGTCGTCGGTCGTACTTCTTCCTTTTATTATTTAATCGAGGCCACCGGCCGAGTTTCCACGATCCACGATCCACGATTCACGATCCGCGATCTTCGTATCCTTCCTGTTTCCTTTGTACATTTATTAGACACACATGTTACGCGAAAAGTTACGCGCACGCGTGCACCCACACACACACACATACACACACATACAAACACACACATGTGTAACAGGTAAACGTAAACGTCGTACATGGGGACGCGGGCACAGGCGCAGCAACACAAAGGCACGCGGTTGCATTCACATTTTGTAATTAGGCATATGCAGTTAGTTCTCTTGCAATAATTCCCATTGAAGGTCAACAAAATTATTCACCTCGAATGCCGCAACTAACTGCTATTATAGA